CCCTGTTTAATTACTGCTTATACGTACATACCACAGCCACTCCACTCACAGACGCAGCAACAAACCAAATACCAACAAATGAACACTGTTTGGTTCGGTTCTACTCTGTATCTCTTTAAATTTGAGCAGATGTCAAAGCACTGTATGAAACCTGTCCAAAATCATCACTTAGTCCAAAACTTATTTTGCTCCAGATTGTGCCTTGTAACTTTTCTTCTAAGAAAAAAAAAACTTCCCAATACTAGCCTCATCATTATAAAGAAAATCCTTTAAGTCTTTCAGCAGTTGCTGCTGGTGATTTGCATATGATCATTTGCATATGTACATAAATTCGTTCTTCACAAACTTGTACAAAGAGACAGTATGTTTATATAAAAAACAAAGTTGGGGCAAAATACTAAACACCCAACGTTCAAAAGCATGAAATTGTTCCCATTATTTCCTCCCTGGGGACCCAAAGCTACAGGAAGCCAAGAAAATGGAGCTCTGCTTCAAACATGTCATACCTTCAAGATTTCAAACTTTTAATTTACTGGGTCTGTCTGCTGTCTTTGTCTGCCTGTATCATCCTTTGAGATCAGTGAACGCAGTTCGTGCCGTCAATCATATTTTTGCGGTTTGAGTAGCTGGCAGCCTGCAGTGTCTCATGTTGACGTTACATAATTATTGATTTTTTTTTTGCTTAACTGCTCTCCAGTCAAACCAAATACATGGGAATTTGCTGTAACGAAACTAAGCTTCTTCTCTTTGTCTTTTGCTGTGAAAAAGAGAAAACTTAGTTTTGACCTGTTCTTTGCAATCCAGTATCTTTTTTCTTTTATTAAACCCTGCCCATTCAAAGCCAAGTCATTACTCTGGTACAGTCTGACATTACCTTGTACCTACAGTATGTGATACACTCCAATTTCATTTTAATTTTTTAAAGGAAACTTTTTGAAAAATGTTTTTCCCTTTTCTTTTCTTTGTGGACTGTTCTAATGTGACTGGACAGTAATTCTGTCCTTCAGAACACTGAAAAGATTTCTAACATTGATAACATGCTTCCACTGCAGATGATGTTTTTGAATTTAAGAGAGGCACTGATTGTAAAAACAACAACACATAATTAGGTGAAAATATGCCTAAATGCTTGTCAGATGATAAATTGTGGAATTTAAAAAAAACTGTCCCTTTGTGACACAGGAGATTCACAATAATTAAACCTTTTTATTAAAAAAAAGGGAAGAAAATAGGTTGCATTTCTGAAATGGGCATAATATACAATTTATTTTAATGAGCGTTGTTTCTGTTGGAGAACTCTAACTTTCTTGTTTGGAGTTATTTATTATTATTATTTTATTTTCTGTTGTTTTAGCCTGTCGTCTGAGCATTGCTCACTGGCACAAAGACTAATACTAATTATTTTTCTTTTTAATTTTTTCCTGTTGCTTCGACATTATATCTGCAGGGCAGCCACATACTAGGAGTAAACACAAGCCTTGAAGGAGACTGGTGTGGTCTCATTCCAGTCGGTGGACCGTGTCAGACAATAACAACTGGACTCAAATGGAACCTGGGTAAGCTGCTTTTCACTACGACACAAGGAGATTGATACATCACAAATATTCTGTTTCTGCACCATGTTTGCTGGGGCATCAACATTTTCTACCTTTTGTTAGAAAATGGGAGCTGGATCAGTATACAGTACATACAGTAAGCAACAGCATCTGCACCTATGAACATCAACAGCCACACGACTGAAGTCTGCCAACCATCAGTCACACACAGCGACCAATCATAATCAGCCTCTTACTCTTTCCTCCCTTTCTTGTCCTTATTTTTGTCCACATTCAACTGTAATTCTGAAAAACTCATTAGAACAAATAAGACCTTCATATCTGCTACAGAAAAAGACAGGGAATCTGGATTGAGACTATACAACCTTATGAAATGAATTACTGAAATTAGTGTTAATTTACAAAGAGTTGATCACTTTCTTTATTCTACTGTGGCTACGTAACGCAACTACAGCTGTAGGTGAGGTGGTTACTGCCTGTTCATTCCTCTTCTGCAGTCTATGGTTTTAACATACTAAATGTTATCTGCTGAAAGGACAAACAAAGGTGCATTAGAAAGTGCCTTACTCACAACTAATACTTGGTGGCATCAACCAAGATTCTGGCGGTGTGTGTGTAAACAGGATTAAGCTGCAGTGAGTAGAGCATTTACTGTAGTTAAAGTCAATACAGCCTACTATATGCAGAAACCACGTGTTTGGAGTTGGACTAATTTGTTGTTAGTCTGTAAAACAAATGAATGGTCACAATAGTCTTTGTCGCTGACCTCTGCTGGACCACGACCACAACCTACCTTCAGTACGACAGCTGATTGTAAAGGGAGAAACACAGGTGTGCACTGGGAACCACAGCATCCAATGTCAGTTACTTGACTCTTAACAACCACTGGCACAAACTGCTCTTTTCAGGACTTTAAACCACAGATCAAACCACTCTCAGAAACCTAAGCCACTCAGTAAGTATATAAAACGAGACACTGCACTGTAGAGGTGATCACTTTTTAGTTTTTAAATGGAATGAGCTTGCATTTTAGCCTGTACGTTCCAAAAAAATGTTTTTTCCTTTTCATATTTTTGAACACTGAAAATTAAATCAGCCTCCAATCAGAGGACCCCGCGGGTTTTAGGCCACTCAGAGGCATACAGCCAGCTGTGTTCCTAATGAGTTGGCACAGACCAAACTCTCAGCTGTACAGAGGGAGGCTGGACCTTCTGTCAATGATGTGAAATTGTGTTTTGGTTCTTGATGGACGTCCAGACCTTGTGTGTTTTTGGGAAACCTTACACCTAAGCTGGCATGATTTTCTACCCTTGACTGTTTGCACTAATTCTGTTACCTCTTTTAGGTGTGGTAATCGTATGCTAAAGTTAGCAAGTATGATTCAGAGTGATCCTTATTTAGCTCTTTAAAATAATATTAGGACGTGTGCAGGCAAAACAAAAATAGTTTGTGTTCTGACACTAATTGCAACTACTTCTGGCATATTTTGTTTTTTCCTTATCTAGTTGCCTCCATTGGGAGTTAAATCTATTCCCAATGAGGCAGAAATGTAATCATTCAAAGCTCTGGTTAAATTTAGGATTCGGTGTGAGTTGCACTTTGTTTATGTTAGATATTAACTGATTACTGTTATTCATATTGTGCTCCTAGGAAAGGACAAAAAGATGGAATTCAGGGCAGATCCAATAAGAACAACAGCTGTGTGTGTGAGTGTGTGTGTGTTTAGCCCTGTTATTAACTTTTTGTGTGTGTTCTGTCGTTCAGTTATAGTGTGTTCTATATTTGCTTACCAGCACACCTGTGAGCTGGCCATCTGAATCATAATGAAAGGGACTTTATACATGAGAGTGCTATGCAGATTAGCTAGTGATAACAAGATGCATAATTAATCACATGCATATTTAGAAGGCTGGAAGTAATATTTTCCCCCCAGGGTGAGAAGAAAGACCAGAATATTAAACAAAAAATTTGGGAGGGCCTTATTTGGATTTTTTTTTTTTTTTTTGCAATGTGACTGATTGCAGATGTTAGCGTTCAGGAAGGGACAATGCATTTTTTTTCTCGTCATTATTTCCTGTTGTGTGCATCCGTTTGAAATATTTCGACGTGTTTTTGTTTGGAGAAGCCTAAATTCAAACCAAGCTACTCTCAAGTGACACCGAGACTCTTTAGAAGTCCATTGAAATGATCCCCCACACATTGGTTCAAAGCATTGCTATGATAAAAAATGTATGATCCTATAAAGAAAGAGTGGTGGGCTGTCAGCCATTACACTTGCGCTGGCCCAAAGGAGGCTTTTGCATCCTAAGCTTGTACAAACTTTGCTTTAAGAGATGAAGTTATGTGATGTTTCATGTTGTTTTGATCCAAAGAATAAATTTACTATGAAATGACAGTAACTGAGCAAACCTATTTTTCTGCTCCTTGTATTCCTGGGGGGTCTGCATGATAAAGTGATGACACAATTATATCTTAAGTGAACTTTTTATTTTTATTTTCCTTTTTTAACCAAAAGTTAAAATAGTTGTTGGCCTAAGGCTCATTGGAGCATTGTTCGAGTTATTGTTGTTTGGGTTTGTCCTGAGCTTGTACAATACTTCAGACAGAACATCCTGATAAATGTTGAAAGTGTAAGGAAACTTGGAGAAATGTGCTAAAATTATAATATTTAAATTCTACAATCAACTTTGCTTCAAATTGTAGAGCTCAACAGGCTATTGTCAAATCATTTATAGCAGCACCATTAAATGTTGAAAAATGATAAGTATGGAGCAATACAAAAAGGCAATTTTTTTTAAATTCAACAAACTCACACTGCCACTTCATGAGGATCTTAGACTCTGGAACGCCTGTCCAGTCACCTTTCATTACAGATTTTTGTCTACAGTAAAAAGGCCGTGACACATTCCCAACTTATCCCTTGCATCACTTACTTCAGTGTCATTTTAAAAAGCACAAAGAAAACAGCAACTTTACTTGCAGGAGACAATCACAACACAAGCAGAATCCAAACACTCAGCAGACCCAGAGGCAAACATGCTTAATTTCACACTGCATGACAAAGCTGTGCAAACATGTCTCCCATATTTAAAAAAAGAAAAGAAAAACAAGACAGCAAAAGCAGACACAGGAAAGAGCATCTCTGCAGGTAAATAGACAGACCTCAAAGTGCCCCCCAACCCCAGGTTTGGGAAATCACAACCAAATGGTCTTAAAAACATTATTCCTCTCTGTCACTGTTTCTTTTTTGCACCAATCCAACAAAACAAAAAACCCTGAACTTTCGTCATCAATATACAAGTCTATCAAACACCAAACTCCAATTTACAGTTCTCTCCTTTAGTCTGCACAATTTACACAAAAATGAAACTTCAAGCAACTTTAGGAAACATCATGCAACTTTCGTCTTTCAAATAAAGCCCGACACTTTTAAGCATTTGTTATTTACTCACCCCGTTCTTTGTAGTTGGCGTGTGAGTCCATAGAATCCACGGCGCTGACGGCGTGGTACTGCCGCGACACAGCTAAAGCAACCCAGCTGACGCCACTTGTGATTAAGACGTGACAGAAACGAACCTCCCGATAGTTTGTAGCGGTGTCGAGCGTATTTTTGTATTTAACTGTATAACTGTATGTCTCTCGCTCAATCTCAAAAAACGCATGGACATTTAGATCTGCAGGGTTTGCCTGCCCTGGTGTGACGTAATCAGCTGTTTTTGCACAGCTGATCTCTGGGAAGTTCCTGGCATTACTGACGTTGACGTTCAACGTCTTCTGCAGCTGCTGTTAAAAGAGAACAGTAGTTGGTTTCCTACGTGTTTCTGTTCTATAATCTAGCGGCCCCCCAGTACCAGGCCCTGGATCAGTCGGTACTTGACCATACAGAAAGACTTTTGATTTTGATTTTTTTATTTACATTAGTCAGCATGGTATTTTATTTAATCTATTTTATTTGTTATTTGATATTAAAAAATGGACCATTCTACCCTTCGACAAAATGTGATTACACTGAGTTTTTATAATTCCCTCCCTTGTATTTTCTCCAGCTCTAAATCTAACTACTACGTCTTTAAAAACTTTATCTGGACTTTTTTTCTTTTTTGCAAAGCACACCTCC